TCTCTCTCTCTCTCTCTCTCTCTCTCTCTCTCTCTCTCTCTCTCTCTAATCAATATGCATGTCCTTGGGTAAGAATTAAAAAAAAAAAAAAAAGTACAAATTGGTAGTTAAAGAATAGTCACAGGGTTGTAAATTACAGCATAGTCAATAATATTGTAATAACTCTGTATGGGACCAAGTAGGTACTTGAAATATCAGGGGGACCACTTTGTAAAGTATGACTAACCACTATGCTGTACACCTGAAGCTAATATATAATAATACTGAATGTAAACTGTAATTAAAATTTTTTTTAATGATTTAAAAGAAGTACAAATTGGTAATCTGTACAAAATAGTCATAGTGTTGTAAAGTATAGAATAGAAAATATAGTAATATTGTAATAACTATTTTTAATTTTTTTAAATCTTCGCCCAAGGATTTTTTTTTCACTGCTTTTCAGGGGGGGGGGAGGGGGAGAGATGTGAANTAACTATTTTTAATTTTTTTAAATCTTCGCCCAAGGATTTTTTTTTCACTGCTTTTCAGGGGGGGGGGGGGGGGAGAGATGTGAAAGAGACACATCAATTGGTTGCCTCCCACATGCACCCCAACCAGGGCCAGGGATCAAGCCTGCAACCAAGGTATTAGGAACGTGCCCTTGGCCAGAATCGATCCCCTGGGACCCTTCAGTCCACGGGCCAACACTCTAACCACTGAGTCAAGCTGGCCAGGGCTGTAATAACTATTTATGGTATAAGATGGGTACTAGATTTACTGGGGTGGTCACTTCGCAAGCTATATAAATGTCTAATCACTATTGTATACCTGAAACTAATATAATATTGTATATGAACTGTAATTTTAAAAAAATTTTATAAAAGAAAGAAAACAGTATGGCAGTTCCTCAAAAAATTAAATGTAGAATTACCATAAGATCCAGCAATTCCATTTCTATGTATGTGCTCAAAAGAATTGAAAGGGTCTCAAAAGGATATTTGTATACCCATGTTCATAGCAGCATTATTCATAGTAGCTAAAATGTGAAAGCAGCCCGGCAGGGCGTGGCTCAGGATTCAGGCGATCAGGGTTTGATTCCCAGTGAGGGCACATGCCCGGTTGCGGGCTTGATCAATGACTCTCTCATCATTGATGTTTCTATCTCTCTCTCTCTCCCTCTCCTTTCCTCTCTCTGAAATCAATAAAGATATTAAAATAAAATAAAAAGAATTTTAAAATGTGAAAGCAACACAAGTGTCCACCCACAGATAAGCAAAATGTTTTATATACATACAATGGAATATTATTCAGCCTTAAAAAGTATGGAGATTCTGACCCATGCTACAACATGGATGAACCTTGACAATATGCTAAGTGAAGTAAGCCAGATACAAAATGAAAACTACTGTATGATTTCATTTATATGCAGTAGTTAGTTAAAATTATAGAAGCAGAAAGTAGAATGGTTGTTCCCAGGAACTGGGGAAAGGGGGAAATGAGGAGATGGTGTTTAATGAGTACAGTGTTTCAGCTTTTCAAGATAAAGAATTCTTGATGTGGGTGGTGGCAATGGTTGCCCAACAATGTGAATGTACTTAATACCACTGAATTATACATTTAAAATGATTAAAGCAGTAAATTTTGTCATGTGTACTTCACCACAATTTAAAAAACTGTAAAAAAAATAAGTGCCTATATTAAGACTTTGGAACCTTGGGCTTTATATAGTAGTGATACAGTGTCTCTCTCTGTCTCCCCTTCCCTCCCCCTCTTCCACTCTAAAAAAAATCAATGGAAAAAATATCCTCTGGTGAGGATTAAGAACACAATAAAAAAAAGCATAAAACTCATAAAAAAACCATAATATACAAAATTCCTTTACAACCTTAGGGCTTTAAAAGCGGTACATCTTTGTAATGAGTTTCCCATCCCTAGTCTGAGTATTAAAACACAAACGATGACAGTGCCGGCTGCTTTGGAAATAAGGACTGGCCAGTGACCTTTAAGGTGTTATTGGTAGAAGGGAGTGCTAATGCTCTAACCAGTTCTGCTACTATTCCTTGGAAAGGGCTGGTCCCAGAAATGGTCCTTTTCTTTTATCCAGAAATAACGAGTTCACCAAAAGGAACTCTTACTACCATCCTTGATATTGGATCATGATGTTAAGAAACAACTTTCTAGGGTACTTGTCAAAACCCATCCAGCAGCCCAGCATGGCTTTAGAGTGGCCCGTGACTGGGAACATTGGGAACTATATGTTAATTCTTCATTCATCTTGTCTTTTCACATAGACCATATCCCTTCTCAGACAACAGAGATCTAAATTTCATTTTAGTTTTATTCTTCAAATATGTCCTACAGTCAGTTCTCATAATCATTTTCTTAAGTGGAACAAAGTTTAGGGAGAGTTTACTCTGTACATACTACAGAGAATGGTCTTCTCTTTGAAATTCAACAGTATGAATAATGACATGATTATTAGCCTTATATTATTTTTAAAATTATCTGTAGCTTACCTACTCTTTTACCTGCTGCTGTATTATTTCCATTCATTCCAATACCACGGGCAGACTACAATTAAAACACAAAACATCTATGGAGGTGAGTTAATGGAGAACAGAAGAAAAGATCACCAAACATGGAATATTTGTACTTTATTACCAAAATACTGTTGGGCTTCCACTGAAAATTATTTAATCTAATTTTAATTAAGTTAACTTGGAACTTGATTCTCACATCCAGCAATATTGTACTTATTACTTATGTTTAAAAGAGTATAATTTAATGGCTCAAATAAAAGTTCTCATTTGGGAAAAAATTAATAAAAATAGCATTTCAAAATACAGTATTTCCGCCCTTACCCATGGTTTTGCTTTCCACAGTTTCAATTACCCAAAGTTAACCACAGTCCAAAAATATTAAGTGGGGAATTCCAGAAATAAACCATTCATAAATTTTAAATTGCTTGCGGTTCTGAGTAGCAGAAATCTCGCTTCATCCCACCCAGGATATGAATCATAGGTTTGCCCAGAGTATCCAAACTCACTTGTTCTCACATAGGAAATGTACCATCTCACATTATCACAAGAAGAAGGGTGAGTACAATACAATAAGATATTCTGAGAGAGAAACCCTGCTCAGATAACTTTTATTATAGTATATTGTTCTAACTGTTCTATTTCATTATTAGTCATTGTTGTTAAGCTCTTACTGTGCCTAATTTATAAATTAAACTTTATCATAAGTACGTATGTGTAGGAAAAACAGTACATATAGAGTTCGGTATTACCGTGGTTTCAGGCATCCACTGCAGGTATTGAAACATATCCCTCACTCATAAGGGGGGACTATAGTGATAAGTTGTCTACATGAAATTATTTTCAAGCTACAGTTCTCAATTTAGGACTAAAACATTATTTAAAATTCACCTATCAAAAAGATTTTCTACAAACTAGATAACGAAACTATTAAAAGAAGCCAACCTCAGGCCTCCTTATTTATGTAAACAAAAAACAAAGTTTAAATATGTTGAAACATTATAAGGAAACTACTAGAACATACTGAGGCAAATAAATACTTACTAGAAAAAAATCTGTAGATTCTAACTGGGGAGAACTTTTCCTAATGCATTCTTCCTGAAAATGCAGGAGGTTTGTAGACAGCCCAATTCCAGAGGTCCGAAGCCTACCTACCCCACGCATGCTCTGTAACCCGTCTCTGCTCGTGCTCCGGGCCAGCGAAGCAAGAAAACTTATATTATTTATACAACCAACAGGCTCTTTGGAAGCCTTATTAGCCACTTCTGTGATATCACGAGCCTCAACTTTAGAAATAATATCGGATCTTTTCCCAGGTGAATCAACTTTGACAGCTCGAAAGCGAGTAGTCCTAGAGAAAGAAGAATCCGTTATATTTCGAACATCCAATGACCGGAGCACATTTTGTGAAGCAGAAGACTGGAGATTTCCAGATTCGAAACATTTGGACTGTCTCTGTGGTTTCATCAGAGAATGATGGAGTGACATTGGTGTAGAACAGTGAAGAGGTGACAGGAGTCTATTCTTGTGAGGACTTAATTCACGGTTGTTGAGAATTGTAGTCTCTACTGATTCACCACTTAAAACTCTTGCAACATGTTTAAGATGCTGCTCTGTAGCTTTCAACCCTTTATCACCATTAGTAAGTAGGAACTCAGGATTTACCTTCTGTGTGCCCTCCAAGCCACTGCTCTGTTCATCGATATTTCCTTCTGTCAACAAAGGAAACGAACGCACTTCAGGCAGAAGTGATTTTTCAGTTACACACTCTTCAGAAGTTGGAAATAAAACAGCGTCATCCTCATTATTAGGTGACAAATTTCCTGAAAAGTGCTTTGTCTGCCTAGGTAGGGATGGTCCAAGATGGAGAATAGAATCAGCAAACTCTTTGTCATTTTCGAACTCCACATGGGTCATCTGAGGTGGTAGTTTGGTGCTACCACTGGAATGAGACGGCGCGTTACTTTCCCAGTTATCATCTTCCTTAAGAAAATCACTAGCTATAGATGATATGGGCCTATCAGCAGGGGGCAGAGTTGTCAAATTTGAAACTGCATTGCTGGATGTTTCAGGCAGATATGCATTCCCAGGAGAAGGTAAACAAGGCTGCCCAATGTGGGGGAGAACTCTTAACAACCTGTGCCGAGTCGCTGCTGTGGAACTACTAGAAGATCGAGGAGCTATAGGTGGGCGAGGTTTTACCTTGACAGCTTTCTTAGGCTAAAAGAAAAGAGTGAATATATAATTCCTTTACGTAATTCATTATATAATTCATTTATATAACTCATTCTCTCTACCCATTAACAAAAATTAATGAAGAAAATGTGATTTACTGTAACACGTTGGCATTTTGTTTACCTTAATTTAAAATGTTTAAAAGATTAAAATCTTAAACTAATGATGGAGAAGAATTTTGCTATCTTCATTAAGTATAATTTTCTGAGAATAATTTTATTTATTGTCCTCACTTCTGATTGTCAGAGTTCTGCTGTAAAGAAACCTCACTGATTATATATGACACTGCTGCCCTATTTTAGATCCCTAACAACTCTTACTAGTAAGTGGTTGGAAAAGTAGGTATTGCAGAAAAGAGTTAACAGAACTAAACCGCTATCCTTGAAAAGCCCTGCTTGCAATGTTGGTCCTTGGTTGGCTTCTGGGAACTTGTATTTAAGAGGGTTCCCACCACCCTGAATGGTAACAGTGGCTCACTGTGACTAATCTACTTGTGCAAACAATGTGGTTTATGCTGAACACCAGCTTTTCTTCTGGAAGTGTGGAATTTTGGTACATGCTAGGTAGAGGGTATCTACATGAACAGCCTCTAATAAAACATCTGAGCAGAGTCTCTAATGAGCTTCCCTAGCAGACAACATTCTACATGTGCTGACAAAACTTACTGATAGAGGAATTAAGCACATCCTATGAGACCACCAGGAAAGGATTCTTGTATCTGGTTTCCCTTTCCCCTTTGCTGATTTTGCTTTGTACCCTATCTCTGTATAAATCTTAGCCATGAATACAACTATATGCTAGTTTTATGAGTCTTCCTAGCAAACCAGCAAACCTGGGAGTGTCTATAAGTCCCTGATACAGTAGGTTTTAGATTTTAATAAAAGTATCACAGCAATTCATGATGTTATGGATAAAGTTGAAAATTAAAGATGATATGGAATGCCTAATGACATACTAATACTTCCAAGCTAGAAAGATAAGAAAAGCTGGATAATTCAGTGGCTACTATTTGAGACAAGAAGAGGAGGAGCTAAAAATCCAAAGGAAAAAGAATGATGGAAAGGTACACTGGCTGCTATAGCTGCTTTTATCCTCAGGCCACTGTGCTGCCAACCTGCAACCCTATACTCAACAAAAATATTCTTTGAAAATGAAGGTGGCCTTGGCTGGTGTGGCTCAGGTGGTTGGAGTGTCTCCCAAACACCAAAAGGTTTTGGGTTGGATTTCAGGTCAGGGCACATACCTAGGTTAGGGTTTGGGCCTCAGTTGGGGTGTATATGGGAAGGCAATGAATTGATGTTTCTCTCACATCAATGTTTCTCCCCTCCTTCCCCTCTCTCTAAAATCAATAAGCATGCCCTTAGGTAAAGATATAAATAAATAAATAAATAAATAAATAAATAAATAAATAAATAAATAGACTTCAGGGCTGTAGAGATTAATGGTGGTTGCCTAAATCTGCATTTCTTTATGAATTCTCCAAAAAACTATACAGATATACAACATAAACAAATAAAATCACCCATAATCCATGCCTTCATCAAAACTAAAAGACAAAGTTAACCTATAATTACCTGTAAGTAGGAAAATACTCAAATCCAGGGAACTCATCTGCAAAGCCTATGCCTATGGTGAGAGACAAGCAAGAGTGTGGAACAAGACAGAAAGGAAGGAAGAAAGGATGGAAGAAGGGAAGGAAGAGGGAAGGGGAGGGGAGGAAAAGAGGGAGGGAAAGGAAAATAAAGAGGTGTGGATAACCTAGGGCTGATGGAACAAATATAAAATAAACTCAAAATGAGAAAAATCCCACCTGATTATAAAAAATACTGAAAGCAGCAGGTTTAATATCTAGGATATTAAATCACAGGATACTAGGAAATAAAAGGCAAGTGACTTAAAACTGGTCAAGACCTGAGGAGATAGCTTCAAAAGGCACCACTTCTGTAGGAAGAAAGGGTGAGCTGGAAGGAAGAGGCACTCACTGAGAACTTGACAGTGAAGGCAGAGGAGGCAGCGAAAAAGTGAAAGAAAGAAGCCTACAGAGACAAAAGGCAATCACAAAATCATAAGATACACCAACCCTACCTTTCAGTAAGAGTACCATTGATTTTAAAAATTGCATTTCACTATACAGAGAGAAGAGGGTGTATTGAAATAGTAATTTACTTTGCCATACAAAATCCTCACTTTGGCCCTGGCCAGATGGCTCCATTAGTTGAAGAGTAGCCCATACACCAAAAAGTTGCAGGTTGAATTCCCAGTCAGGGCACACACCTGGGCTGCGGGTTTGTTTCCTGGTCTGGGCATGTACGAGAGGCAACCAGTCAGTTTCTCATATTGATGGCTTTCTCTCTCTCTAAAATCAATAAACGTATCCTTGGGTGAGGATAAGAAAAACATCCTCACTTTTGTCCATGTACAACAGTTAATATTTATTCAAGCAAATAAAAATTACACAAAAAATGAAAACAGCCCAGCCTGGTGTGGCTCAGCGGTTCAGCGTTGACCTAGGATCCAGGAGATGGGGGTTTGATTTGCCATCAAGGCACATGCCCGGGTTGCGGGCTCGATCCCCAGTCGGGGGCATGCGGGAGGCAGCTGACCGATGATTCATCACTGATGTTTCGATCGCTCTCCCTTCCTCTCTCTGAAATCAATATATATTTTTTTTATAAAATAAATACAAAAAATAAAAACAGAAACAGAAAAAGGTAGACCAAATCCAAAGTTACTATAAAATAAAACAGAAAATAAGAATCAGGACATTTCAGCTGATGAAAATCCCCCACAGAAAAACAATGAAGCGAAAGAAAGCTGCATTCACAGCACTCCACCTGGAATTAACATCTTTAACTTAGCATTTGTAGATATTTCATTTAAAGCCACATCACATCAGAATCTGAAAACTTAAGACACAATGGGCCAAAAAAAAAGAGATTAAATGAGAGCTGACCAAAACCAGAAAATAATCTGAAGAACACTAAATCATCTCAGAAATGAATATTAAATTACAAGGTGACCAAAGGAGCTTAGAGTCTACTGAACATTTCATAAAAAGTACTGAAAAAGATATGAAAACAACAAAGAATTAAATTTAATAAAGAATTAAAAGGGATAAGAGAAGAAATGTTTGTACAGAAGAGAAAGATCCCTCATATGTACAAAGGAAGTCTCTAAAAAGAAAACAGAAATAAATATACCATTTAAAAAAATAAAAATAAACGATAAGAAATCATCCCAAAATGAAAGAAAACGTGAATCTTCATGTTGAAAGACAATATAGTAAAAATTGATGCAGAATGGTAAATTTGAAGACATATCCTAGTAAAGCCACTAAACTTAAAATGATTTAAAAAGTCCTCGTTTTCTCCAGATAATAAGATCAACTCATTTACAAAGAACAAAAGTCAGAAGGTAATTAGGTTTCTCCATGGAAATATACAAAGCAAGATAGTAGCAGAGCCATATTTTAAAGAAATCAAGGGTGGGGTGATGTAAAAGAAGTGGCAGCATGAGAAGTTCCCGCGCTCTCTCCCCTTCGAGCTACAAGAATTTGAACAGCTATAATTCAACAAAGGATTCTCTGCTCAACACACAAACACATCTGAGAGATCTGCTGACTGAAATAACTGAAGGTGGGTGAGTCTGGGGAGGGAGGAGCACATTCTCGCAGCCCTGAGAACTGGAGGCAGAGCATTCTCCCCTGAGCAGCAGCGTGCTGCAGCTAGCCCCTATAACAGAGGTAAAGCACAGAGGTAAAGCAGCTGAGGTCTGGCCTCACCATTACTGGAAGAAAGAAGCCACAAACACCCAAGCCCCTTACCCAGTCAACACCTTGCCCCTGCCCATTGCATCTGCACTGTCTGCAGAGCTGCTGCAGAAAACAGCACTGGCATTTCACAGGCTCAAAACCCCATTACCCACCACATTGCCATAGAGGTGGCAGCCTGAGACGGAAGGAAACCTGATCACAGAGAAGACATCCACCTCCCTAGGGAATACAGGGTACTTTCCAAAATCCTGCAGAGATCCCAGAATCCAGAGCAGAGCAAGAAAAACTAAAAAACTTGTGCTTTAGTGCCGCCTACTGGAAGACAAAAGAAAGACTTCTTAGCAACCTACTAAATAGAGAATACCACTCTTAAAAATTAAAAAATTTAAAAAGCAGATTTCATTCCCATAGATGCCTAGGCAAAGAAAAAAATCCATCAAATATCATAAATAAGCAATATAATGAGGCAACTGAGACGGAAGTTTTTAAAATCTCCAGAAAACAATCTTAAATAGAAATATGATTTAAATGACAGATTGCAGTTCTGAAAAACTCAATGAGATACAAACAGATAGGCAGTTTGATGCACTCAGAAATAAAACCAATGAACAAAAGGAGTACTTTACCAAAGAGATTAAAACTTTAAAAAAAGAACCAAATATAAAGTCTGAGCTAAAGAATTCAATAAAAGAGATGAAGAATGAACTAGTGTAGTGAGCATAGAAAATAGAGCTGACCAGACAGAGGAAATAATTAGTGATATCAAAGATAGAAATTATATTAAACTGTCAAAAATTAATGACAAAGAAAGAATTTTCAAGGCGGCCAGAGGGAAAGAGCAGGATCATAAAAAGAAAATCCCAACAGATTATCATCGGTTTTTCAGCAAAAACCCTACAAGCTAGGAGGGAGTAAAAAAAAATATTCAAACTATGAAAAGAGAGATTTTTCCAGCCAAGAATAATATATCCAGCAAACTTATCCTTTAGAAATGAAAGAGAAATAAAGACTTTTTCAGACATACAAAAGCTGAGGGAATTAACCACCATAAAACCTTCATTAGAGGAAATACTAAAGGGGCTTATTCTACCTGAAACAAAAAGACAAAAGGATACAAAACTATGAGTGAAATAACTGACAAACCCCCAAAAAAAAAATTGCAACCCTTTTTCAGAAGAGCATATTATAAACTTAAATATAACATAAAAGTTAA